GTATTGATTACATTAGAAATTCGAGCACACTGCTCATTTCGATACTCATCTTGAGTGTTTGAACTGTTCTATTTGCATAGCACAAGATTGTCAAATTCCTCGTGTTTTCTATTGTTTAGAAAACAAAGTGAATAATATTAAAGAGATAAAAATGGAATTTTTTTTCAAATGGGATCGTCGTTTTCGGAAAAGAAAAATAAACAATCATAAAAGTACGTCTTTATTGAGATATGTAGGTCTTCATTAAAAATAAACATAGGATCGCTAGCATTGCGATATATTACAAACTATTAAAAAAGCTCAGACATGGATTAATACTCACGAAAGTCCAAAGTATTGTAGGAATTGGTTTATCTCTTCTTAATACTACTTGAAATATTCATTATAAAAATTTACCCAGATTATTACGCATCGACGTTCTCGATGTGGGTGGTTTCATTATAAAATTTTCATATGGCCAAATTTCGGGGATCTAGCTGTAACTTAGTTCACCTCGACATCGTTCTATTTTGAGAGAATTGCAGCAATCCAAGAACCTAATTGAAGCACTACTTTTATAATCTGGGGATTTTTTTTCTTGATACTCAACACATTTGCTTGCATGAGACAGAATAGATCAGTATGAGACCATGAACTCTCAACTCTATTGCTATATCTGAAAAATATTCATAAATAAAATTAAGGCTTATAAAGTAAAATTTTGATCCAGAATTATAGAATATCGTTGTTGATTCATTTATGTTTCAGTAGGTAACTGTTGTCCAATTGTTATTAGCAAACATGTTTCTAATTGATGCTAACGAAGTACTTGAGAACTCATTATTGTTTATATGCAACGTTTTGAGTTGTCTCATCTGAGTCAGTTCCTGAGGCAAATTAGTTAATTTATTATTATTCAAGTACAAATCCTCCAATGTCTTGTTGAGATTTCCTATGTTGGATGGAATGGACGTGATTTGATTACGATAAAAATAGAGATACCGAATTTGTTTCAATGATCCAACAGCATTGATATTATTGAGCTGATTACCGTCCATATATAATATTGTCAAATTTCCCAGTAATGCTAATTCACTGGGTATACTAGTGAATCGATTCCCACCCATATAAAGCCAACGCAGATTCGTCATTTTTGCGATATCATTGTGAATAGATGTGAGTTCATTAGCGCCAAGGTCAATGATTTCTAACATGGCCATGTTGGTAATCGCTAAAGGAATTTCTTTCAATCCACAACCCACAAGATAGAGTAAACGCAGATTAGCAAGTGCAGTTATCTCGTGCAATGGTGATAGGATAGGATTGAAGCTAAGTTTCAGTGAACGTACAGAGACTAGCCTTTCCAGATTATTTGGTAATCCAGCAAGACGATTACCACTAAAGTCTAGAGATTCCAAATTATGAAGGCTACCTACTGAACTTGGCACATCTTCTAGACTACAAGATGTAACGAACAACTCTCTAAGATTGATAAGCTTGTTAATGTCGGCAGGTAAACGCGTCAGCTTTTTGCTATTCGAAATACGAAGACTTCTTAACGTACTCCACTCTCCGATTTCATCTGCTACTCGTGTGAGGTGTTCATTGTTATGAAGGTTAATAGAATCAAGTTTCGAAAGCAACCGTATTTCTTGTGGCAGACGATCAATGTTGCTATTGTTGACATATAATGAATTAAGGTTTCTCAAACAGTACGTGATTAGTGGTATATTGTTCTCACGTACAATTGACAAAGTAATTACATGGTCTTCAGTATCGACTGTATATTGTGAATATCCAGGAGACCAGTTAAAAGGTAGCAGATTAATCACGTCAAGATCTGATTTGAACCATGAGCAATCAACAGTTGCAATACACTCATCGTAGCGCAGTTGTGGATTGAAGTCAATCGTCTCTACAGAGAATAGATTATTGGTTCTTTTTTTTTAATGAACTCAAAATTTTTATTTGACTATTACCTATTCTATTGACGAGCAATGCAAATGTAAAAAGAACAAAACGAACTACATCCATGCTTTGTGTTCAATATCAAACAGCAATAGGAAGTAAAATAAGTACAAAGACTATAACGTGTTGTAACTTTTTATCATATCAATAAATGTCAAAGTAAATCTGTTGATTTCGTATCATGAGTTATATACAGGTTAAAGTCTGCAACAACAAACGGCATTGTCTTGTCCAATGAAATTTTGAATTACGGTACTTGAAACGATCGTAGACGTTATCTTCAATCGGACTAAACAACAAATATACTTTATTCAGCTTAAGTTAAAGAAAAATACACTGATAAGAATCCTCTTGACGATTCAAAAATGAAAAACTTTTAAACGTTTATCATAATATGAAATTCAAAGTCATGATTACCGAACCATATTGAGGGTAAATGTGGGTGTGGTAATGGATTTGGTTGTGCCAATGTATACATGTTTTACAAACGTACACCTAATCACACCCACTTCTTGGCTAATTCTGTTAGAGATCCATTTGATCTATAGGATTCTAACGGCTGAAAATTGTTGTAAAAGGTATAGGTAGGTATTTTCGACTCATCTCATGGTGAGGAAAGTACAGCACAGTACGAGATTTTACAAATTATCTTGTCTCCATACGATGTGATTTCTGTTGAATGGATATCATAGATATGTATAAAGCAAAAAAAATTAGGAACAACTAGATAATGAAACCAAAATGATTATCTAACATTTATTTAAAACCCAACAGGAAGAATAGGATCAATGATAGCTGCGTAAATATTCGAGTATATAATAATCAGAAAATATTTAATTTTTATCGAAATTTGAGACTGTTTTTTAAGATATCGAGAACTACTATATCTACATAGAGGCCACTAAATTTTTATATATTCTTTCTTTGTGTTCGATGCTATCATTTTTCTAAATAAAGTTAGCAAGATCGATATAGATAAGTTATATTTAGAGCAAGCAGCTAACAGCGAACATAATGATGAACTAGAAATTGACTTTTGTGGTATCTATGGAGATTCTCATATGTACATGTTTCTTCAGCGGCCATTAATATGGTGCAAAGAAGAAAGTGATCATCTCGTGATAAGAAAACGAATGGTTTCGGTTTATTATAACCGTTAGAAAAATACCATTGTGAACACAACAAGTTAATGAATGACGAAGAAAAAATGAAAAACAAAAAATAGTATAAATACTATTAGTGCTGCTCAAAATGTCTACAATCATTCAAGTAAGATTTTTTTTTTTCGTTTGAATATTTCGCATAACCATTGTTCGTTATATGACTGTAAGTTCAATTATTACCATGGAAATTCTAAGAATGCATAATGTAGATGTATGCGAAAACAACACTGGAAGTATAACTATGTCTCATATATAACAAATGGGATTTCATGTGTGTAACGTTTTAAAATCCATTTCTCTAAGAGAACATTGTAGACATGGAAAAGAAGTCATACTTTAAAATGAGATATCAAATCACTTTCGTATTATCTACATTCAAAGTTCAAATAATAATGAATTCTTTTCTTATGTTACTATCTATCCTTTTTATAGTATATTTATATGGTATAAAAAAGAGTAGCTACCACTTTCACATGAATCAAGCGCTTAACGATTCAACCATTCTTAACTTTGATATTTACAGTTGTATACCTGCTTTTGAGAAATGTATTACTCATCGAGAATTCCTTGACAAAATTCCATCTCTAGCTAAAAGAAGCAATATACAACGAAACACTCAAATTCTTTTGTCTGCTTACGGTTTTGAATAATAATATAGTTGCCGTTTTTAAGAACATTCATGACTTGAAGGTTACATGCGTTTATTTGAATTTCTAATGCAGGATTTTGATAGTTACATGAAACGTAGTAAATTAATTGTTGATAAAACTTTTTTAACGGTCTATATAACAGTTCAAACTTTGAATGATGACCCTCAGGAATGTGAATGCGGGTTTGAGAGTGAACGACGTTTTGATTCATCGACCCACACCCAAATTGCAATTAGTCTTCATGTAACGAAGGAGTCTACATTTCAGAAATATTAAGATAACAATGTCAGATAATCTAACACCTATAACAAGTATCATTATTGAACTCAGCATGGTGCATTATTACTGTCTAATTGCTTTTCCAGATAACCATAAGTCAATGAAGTGAAATACGAAGTCTCAAAAAAAGTCTTATAACTCTTGAACAAAACAGATAAGCAATGTCGATTTTAAGTAAATTGAACGAGTTGAATCTTGGCTATCGATTAATTCTTATGGATAGAGAAATAACTTCAGAATGTCGTTTTCGAAAATCTTCACCAAGAACTTACCTGATTAGCGAATTTCTGCCCGAAAAAATTCAATATACTTCAATGGTTCCGACTATTATCTTTTGAATAATGAAAAACTACTGTTCTCTATGATGTTCATATAAAAAATTAATCAAAAAAAATCAGTGAAGCACATTCTATGTTGAAATGAATGAAACTCGATTTTCAAAATGTATCGCTTTATTTTAGTGTGTTTGGGATGAATACAATCCCTATTACGATTCCAAAAAATAATAAAAACAAAGGTATATGTCATTTCTACAGTAATTCTCACATCATTGTTTTCCCTCAACTATCAGAAGCATTTCAACATCAATATTGGTTTAAAACGTTCGGTAAACATTGCATATCGTCCAAAATCGAACTTCGTTGATAGAGGAAGTAATTTTGAATACTCCGAAAATGTCCAAGTTTTTCATAATATTTTTCAAAACTATAACAACAATTCTTGGTACAATTACTCTGGTGATGAACAATATTTGTATCAGTTCAGGTAAGAATCATAATTGATGTATACCATAACTAAATGATAGATTTACAAAAGAAATCAAAATATTAGGTAAACGAATAGTGTATTAAAGATTACATCATTTTTTAATTAATATATTCTACGGCTACAATGGAATAAGTGTGCGTATGCTTTATGAACTAATTTGTCAATCCAGTGGTCTTTTTCTGTTATGCCACTCATGGAAGACTGTGATATCGAAAATATATTTGAACAGAAGGACAGCTTTATTAATCCATTGCCAAGACAAATTTGTGAACAATATTTAACAGCAAGCAATCGAGCATCTATTGAATCAGGTATTTTCCACGATCTGGAAAGAAGTAATCATGCTTTGATTGCATGTATTCATGACTATAAAACAACGAACAATTAATACATAAGAGAAAAACATCGAACTTTCTTTTATTCTTATGTTTTTTTCATAGTTCAATGCAAGTATTCAGATAGATATTCTTCTTAACATAACCACAGAACAAACAACTTCAATAATAGAACTTGTAACAACAACAAGAACAACCTTAGCAGAAACTACAACATTATCAAGTTTGATTTCAACAATTGCTTTGAATAGTTTGATCGTTGTAAAATTAAACTATATTCTTTCGATTTCTTTGTTACTTTTGTTTCCGATTGAACTTTTTATTTATCTGATCGAAACAATTATGTCATAATTATTTAATCCTTCAAATAGACACTGACTTGATAATTATTGATTGAATTTATCTATTGATAATAGAACTTTCTGTTAAGATTGATCATAAAAAAAAAGCTATTAGCGCAATCCCTTGCGGGATTGAAAATGTGAAGCACGATGGATCTATTGTTACTAGTTGAATGGAAATTATTTTGTTCCATTTCTTTGCGATATATTTTTAGCTAACGGTTTATCCAATGCTTTAGAACTACAGTTTCTCTGTTACGATCTGTGCTGGGTCCCAAGCCCTGTCTGTCACGGTCTGTGACGAGTCCCGGGCCTGTCTGCCACGGTCTGTAAGGGG